GTGATCATAAAAATTACATTGCGGAAGTAAAGCGATGTTGTAGCACGATGTGTTGGTATGGATTTCAGATGAAAACTGCATGATGGTTTTCAAAATAGGTGATGAAATACAAATAGGTGATAAGCAATTTTTAAAAGGTAAAAGAAGTCTTGAAAGAAGAGTTTTTACATGATTCGCGATGATAAAAGTTCAAATGTATTTTACCCAATCACGCAATAAACACGTTGTTTTTTTCTTGAGTAGCGTAAACTGATCGTGAACTTCGCTTTGCCCATATTATTTTGGGGTGGAATTGATTTTGAAAAATGTTAGCTTTCAATCTAAAGACTGCGTCGATCGTCAAAGTATTTACTTACGAACAAAGAGGTGCTAATTTTACAAAATTAACTTGTTTTGTTTATAAGCCACTGCCACATCGTGCGACTACGTCTATTGTTTACAAATTATAATCCACGACTGGCAGGATGCCTGTCGGTCGGTGCGTCGGACAATAGTCATGGTCGGAAGCGTGGCAAGATCCCTGATAGCTACATGTACATGTACGTATTTCTTTCTATATTTCGTAATACAGTTCACAGGATGAACAATGAAAAAAGCACTGTGGCGGTCTTACTAATCACCGTGGCGGCTCGGGACCACAGTGGCGGGCAGGGAAAGCAGCGTGGCGGCCCCGCACACAATTTGAATGCTGGGGAGAACACTGCGAGAGTATAAGAGGCATTAAATCAATTCAAAATTTAAGATTAACCTTTTGAACAAAAAGCTTGAATCACTGAATGAGTGAGAACTGGTGCTTCTATTTTATTTGCATATATTCTGGCTGTCTTTAAAACACCACTGAATTGTGTCTTCGGTGTTTCACAAGAATGTTGTTCACTTTGTGAGTGTGCATCTTTACATACAGTGGTGGAAAAATTGAAGTAATCAAAATTATGCATGTCAACAATTTTATACATCTATTTATGGGTCATACCAATATCAATTTGTTGAGGTATGAAAACTGGAATAATTCGGAGACAGACAAATAAAATGTCTTTGATGATTTACAAGAATGTGGTCCACTTTGTGAGTGTGCATCTTCACATACAGTGGCGTAAAAATTGCAATAATCAAATGCATGTCAACAATTTTATACATCTACATATGGGTCATACCAATATTAATTTGTTGAGGTTTGAAAACTGGAATAATTTATCAAACAAAATGCCTGCCAGTCAAACATCATGGATTTAAATAGATCAAAGAAAGCTTAGAAAGAACTCCCATGTGCTGAGAGTATTGGAGACACATTAAATATAATTTGAAATTACTTAGCTGAAAACTAATTATGCAAATCAGGGAAAATTAACATGAACAGATTTGATTGTAAAACTAATGAGGTCTGCG